TTAAGAATATTGCACCAAAACTTTATCTGGTAAGTGCAAACTTGATCAGTATGCTTGGATTCTGACTCAAGATGAACCGTGTCAAGTTAAAAGGTTATGCCTAAAGGTCTTTTCGTGTTTGGGAGGTCAACAAGTATAAAATAAACAATTCCTAAAATGTATATATAATAATATTTCTATAAATAAATATTTGTCTCAAATATAAATATGTCAGTCCCAGTTAAGAAGACACTCCCAGAGCCGTTCCCTTCTCATGACAGCATTAATGCAAACACAAGTTGATACAAGACTGTAATGTTCTGCAACGCTTGGCACATAATCACACCATTTACTTGAGTAAATATTAGAAGCATAAACTGTTTTAGATATAATAAATGAAATGAAATGACACTTCAAGTAAGGTTTCAACAGCAGAAGTTTTCTATGCTCATCATAAACAATGCTCCTGTGTAAAAACTGAACAGTAACTTGTTGGTTTCTACTCATTTCTTATCCTCTCTCCTTGTTTCTGTCACTTGCAGTCTTTTCTTAACCACATCTTCTTTGATGACCCTGCATCAGGACACATCTTTTTTCATTCAGTGCATAACTTCTTAGAATTTGCAAAAAACAAATGAATAAAACACTTCAGTGAAAAAGCAGTATTTAGTTTCTTGGACTGCTTTGTCTTCCTCATATTCAGCAGTCTGCTTTTTCACCATGACTCAGCACTTTCCTTTGTTCTCTTTATGCAATGTCATCTCATGTTTTCAGAATGAAATTGTGCAAAACTGCATCAAATTACGACTGCAGCACGACAAGCAGAAAACCAAACCCCCTTTTTCAGTGAAATCTGCTGTTTGACACAGCAGTAAAAAAATAAATAATCTCCATTATTTTATTCAGATGGGGTTTAAATTATTTTTTCTTCACATTTTGTATTTTTTTGGTTTGTTTTACACAGTACTTTAGTCTATTACATTTAGTTTTCTGACATGCTGTTTTCTTTTCCTTGTTTCTGTCCATAAACTATTTTCGCTTTGTGTGAGGTGCTGCCTTAAGTGACCGTGTTCAGAGAGGAAAGAAAGGAGCGTCAGATCAACAGATGAACCAGTGCAGCTTACACAATATGGTGGTGAAGATGGAGCTGAGCTCCAAAGCAAAGCTCTTTGTTTACTGGTCAGTCTCTGGATCTTGACCAAACGAAGGAGATTCAAGATTCATGTGGCCGGAATGAGTTTTCCCCGCAAGATAGCTGGACTCTCCTTTAGAGATGGGGTGAGAAGGTCATGGAGAGACTCAGAGTAGATTGATTAGATTTATTAGATAGATAGATAGATAGATAGATAGATAGATAGATAGATAGATAGATAGAT